AGCGGTTCGCAGGTACGGGGTGTGATTCTGATGCGGTGCGGAATTCGCATTGAAAAACGCTGCAAATTCCACACCTCATCAGTGTGAACCAGGGCTCAGTGTGAAGCATGGAAGAGAAAATGTTAAAAAGTCTGTACTCAAGGGCCTGCATGCAAACCAAAGTGATAACATACTTAATGCCTGTCTATCTAAAATTGCATTAGCATTGCTCATACAGTCCTCAGTTTACCACTGGCATCCCCAGAAGTTTCAAATATTGACTTTCTTAGAGTGGTAGTATAATCTGCATAACAACTTATATCTACAGGTTTTTAATAATGCTTACCTGTAGGTATAATGAACATCCCCTAAACATGCACCATTTAGGAGCTATTCACATTGGCAATAGCCAATGATGTCACCACACATAAGCAGTGACGATCTGCATTCAAGGCAAACAGAGTGTGCCATGGAATACAAAGTATTGTACCGTGTTTGTGATTTCTGCCACTTGGATCAGTGGTGTATTTAGGTTTTGTGCTGCCCTAGGCAACACGAAAAGTGACCCCCCCCCCCCCACGGACAGAGCCTAACACCAACCAACATCACCCCCCTCTCCTCCCCACCCGAGAGAGCCTTCCACTACCACCACCCTCCATACGCTGGCCACACACCCCCCCCCCCCCCAACGAGAGAGAAAGGCACTCACCTTCACAGCTCCAGACATCCCCTTGAATGAGAGTCAGGCTCTGCATACACCGTCAAGCAGCCTGCAGCCTCTCTTGGATTCCATCTGGCCCCCATGGTGCGTGTATCCCTTCGTCTGTCCTTTCTTCCAGGGAGCAGTGCTGCCCCCCTGAAAAATGCCGCCATAGGCAAATGCCTTGTTTGCCTTGCGGTAAATACACCCCTGACTTGGATGCATGGGAGTGACGTCACTCTGGACCAGCCATTCAAACAGATGGAGCCCGCAAACCCAGAAGGAAGACTGGGTGAAGATGGAAGCTCCAGCAGTAGTGACAGCACCATTGTAGGGCTTTGTTTAAAAGGGAAGTTTGTCATAATGTGCTAGTGTGCAGTGCATACTTTTTTCTTTTTTAGCCAGTGTACTACTTTACGTCAGTTATTCCAAAGACATAGGCACATGTCTCTACATAACAATGCTGAAACTAGGAAACATAGCTCTCAGCCACCAACCCTTGCTCTGTGGGGTGCAAAACTGGATGGGCCTAATCTACCTATCTTAGTGAGAAGTGGTGCTCTGGGGTCCATATAAAGGTTAAGGGCTATTACAAACTTTTTTTTCCATGAGACTCATGTATGAAACACAAATGATTTTGTGTGTTATTGTTAAACAATTCTGTCTTCATGTATCAAGCTTTTCATGCATATTTCCAGGAACTGCCTAAGGGTTCACTGACTTTCTCACAGCTGTAGTATAATTGATAATAATAGACCTTGTATTGTTTTTTGAGTAAAGAAGAGGTACATGTTGCCCATACCAACCACTCAAGTGTTTTAACCTGCATATCTGTCAATTTCCCCTAATTTCTAGGAACAGGTTTAGGAAGTTTTGTTTTTAGAAATGTACTTAGTTTTTGAAATTCATCAAGAGACACTTATTTTTAGTTTCTGAACCTAAAGTGATAATAAATGGGGGGGGGGGGGGGTTCTAAAATGAAAAAAAAAAAAAAAAAGGAGGTTATATCACTGCACAGAGCTTTCTCTTACTTTGTCTTTGGTGCTGTATGCTTCTTCTTCCTCCGAGTGCCCCTTTAGCAAGCCGTGTGCTAAGGGTGCAACCATATAGCTGCGCCCCTGAGCTGGGCTATGTGCGTCCATAGACACACACAGCACTGGTATGCCATGCCCTCACTCCCACCTCACAGGAGTTTGACTGACAGCAGCAGGAGCCTATGGCTGTTGCTGCCCTCGGTGTCTCCTGTGATAGTAGCAAAAGAGGAGAGCAGCGCTGCAGCTAGGGCAGAGCTGGGTGAGAGGAGTCAGGTAAGTGTTTCATGATGGGATGAGTAAGAAAGTGGTTCTTTAAAGTGTTACTAAACCCAGGACCCTGCATTCACTATATCTGGTCTCCCACAGTACACAGAACATAGAAATGCAATTATTTTAGTAAATATAAACTGCTAAATACCTTTTCTCATCAGCAGTTAGAGCAGTCTTGTGACTTCTATCAGTGTCCAACAGAGCAGTGCTTAAAGCTTGTAGGAGGAGTTTTCATCATTCTCCTCTAGGAGGATGCAGGACCCCTGACCTCTGTCTGGAAAGTCCTGATTGGCCCTGTGCTGATCACATGCCCTCTGCCAAGAAAAAAAAAAACCTCTCTAGCAATACACACCAAACTGAGCATGTGCAGAGTGTCTCCACAACATATGTCTTATCAGGAGATAAGAGGGGGACAGAGAAGAGTGGATCAAACAGCGTTTTTACACCATGCAGAGGATTAACCCCTTAGGTTCCATAGTGAGTATAACAAGCATGCTTTTCTGCATACACAGACCGATTTTACTGTTGTGGGTTTAGTAACACTTTAAAGTGGTTCTAAAGCCAAGACATTTTTACCTTAATGCATTACCTGCATTAAGGTAAAAAAAAAAAAAAAAGTCCCAGTAGCAGTATGGCTTCTTACCCCATTCACCCCATACTCAACCCCCCCAGTCCTCACTCAATCCAGCCCTGTGCCCATCTGCAGCAGCACTCTGTTCTATCCTTGCATTCACAGGACAGTGGGGGGCCATTGGCTCCTGCTGCTGTCAAACAAATCTTGTGAGCAGAGAGTGGGGGGTTTATGGATGCACACAGCCCCGCACCGGTGTGTGCCAGCATGTCTTTCCCCATAGCCAGTGGCTTGGTATGGTGGCAGACACTGAAGAGGAGGAACCCCTAGAAGAGCAGGTTTGAGGCTGCTCTGTGCTATTTGAGGAAACATTTTGAGAGAATGAGGCCCCTTGTGACAAAGTGAAACTAGGGGAAACAGGGTCAAGTCTTCTAGCTCACATATTTAATAGCAGACGCTTTGTTGTGCCTTTTCTTAGGTAGGAAATTTATAAAAGATGAAAATGCCTGACATGTTCATAAGCAAACCTCTTTTACCTATGAAAAACATATACCCAAAAAAAGCAAAAAATGAAGTCCAGCTGATTTTTTTATCTTTAGCCTCCTGCATTTTGAGGCTTTGGGGCAGCTAATGAAGCTAAAAAAGGCATGCGTAGGTACAGAATTTATCCTTATTGGGTCAGCTCTTGAACAGCCTATGACAATTTTGCAATCTGGACACAATCGTCTGTTTGTGCAGATAACTTGTCAAAGTAATCTGGGAAAAATAATTGATCACTATAGATTTTCTTTGTGGGTTTATCATTGTTCCACTGATTTAGGCCAGCTCAAAGGGCATAATAATATGTGCTTGGCCAGCGTGGTTATGCATGTTTATGCAAGGATTGTACAAACAATGAATGATATGGCAATCAGGTCTTCCAACCACCACATTATGTCTGTAATTACCTTTACTAGAATTCTATGATTTTAGAACATGACCTGACCTGCTCTATATGAGGAGTGCTAGCACTCCGTAATGTACCTATATGAAAACAATGACCTAATGCAATCTGTTGGAAGCTGTTCATAATAAGGATACTGCTGGAAAACAACTTACTCTTTCTATGAATTATAGATGTGCATAAAATGATTACTGTAAAAGTTCAAGATCTTTTAAAACATGCAATTCCTCTTATGTAAACATCTATATTTATTGTGACATTCTTGCATGCCTTAGGCATTGTCTGACTAATGCATTGTTCTATGTCCCTTTCTCCTTCTTCCTTGCTCCTTATAATTAAATGTACTTGAATCACAATCAAAATGTGCAACAGTCCAGAATGGATGACAGAAGGAGGCCACTCCTTGGCTCAGAAGATTACCCCTGGGAAACGCAGCAGAAAATGCAGACCTACTTTACAGAAACTGAATATTGCATAAAACACAGCAGAGGAGGTGAGGCAATTAAGGATAAGGAGGCTTTAGATCAATTTCCAGTTTAGATGTCAACCTAATTCTCTACTGAGGCAAGAGAGTATTAAGCCCTTGGCAAAATCTTGACACCTCCCCATTACCATTGAAAATCTTTCTCTAGCTGTCTCTCTATCTCTCTTTATGTATGCATATATCTATATCTTACCTATCTATATTAAAATGGGATAACCATACAGATTTGTACCTCCATGCAAAAATTCACAGCTGTATAGAACCTACGCAAATTATCTAAGCAGCTGTAGCTACGTAATATATAGATTGGTTTTTCAAAAAGTCCCTAGAATGGTCCTTAGTTTTAGCCATATATTAAGTTTTGCTACATCTAAAACTTACATTTTATTTTTACCCCAAACTTAAAACAACATTTGGATGAAAATGATGTTCTCCCTTTATTTGACAGTACTGGTGACACAGCTAATGGCCTTCCAACACTGCTTAAAAACAACTGTTCTAGAAGGCAATATGGTTACAGTATCATCAGCAAGCCCTTCCTTAGTTCCTTCAAAACAAAGAAGTCATTGGCCAATCAGTGCTCAGCAAAACAAAGAAGAAAAACATTGCATCAGCACTTTTACAAATCAGCACCAGGAAAGAGAAAATAGCCAATCAGGCAACAGGACAGAACACCCTGCGCACTGCTCTTACTGCGCCGAGCCATTAGTTAAAGTGGCATGCACATAATTGTGGTAACACAGGGTGTATCGCTGAAAGTGTTATGAGCCAGGATGAAAAGGGTTAATCTGATTTATGAGACAGCTGTTCGGAGCAAAAAGCTATTTTTTGCATTTGTTTACCGCAATCCTTGTGTTTAACTCACGGATTGCAAATGATATGCGCTTCCGCCCATAATTCGTTTTTGTATAATGCTGCATTTTTATTATTCACAGAAAGACTGCCCCACCCAAAATTCTTTCATTTTTTTTGGATTGCTCACACATGCTTCTATTGACTCTTGTTGCAACATGACTTACCCTTACAATATAAGAAACCCCAGGACCCTGCAGCCGGTCATCAGGATGAAGCCATCCCTGAGCTGGTTTACTGATAAAATTCCCTTTCCGGGTCCATTCCTCTCCAGACAGTTTATATGTCTCTGCTCGTGAAGTCTTTCTACCACCTCCTGACGCTCCCCCTCGCAACCGGTTTATCACCTGCAGAGTACAAGGTGTGGAACAAACTGGATCACAAGCTCCAAACACTGATCCCAGTCCTCCAGATGCCCCAGATTTCTCCAGTGAAAGCTCCTTGCTAGCTCCAGAAGGAGATCGACTCAGGAAAGCCGCAGGACTCGAGAATTTCCACTGCCCCATTCGGGTATCATCATGCAGAAGGTGGTAGCCACATCTTGTTCTTCTGGGCATTGCGACTCAGCAAATGGCTGACCCAGTGCCGGTGAGGTGGTTGGGGAATTTGGGGCCATTTGTCCACTCATAGCTTCAGCTGCCAGAGGTATCTGCTCCTCTGCAGAAGTTATGGAGTCATTGCGAAAGCGATCATACTTGGAGTCAGCCAGCATGCCGTGTGCTGGGATCCATCCAGAGCTTTCAGAGTGATTGCTCCTTTCTCTCATCCCCTCCTCTTGCTTACCCCTTCTCCCTGGGGAGGATCCACTCTCACAAGATGATGTCATTCTCATATTACTCATGTACCCCCACCACACACATCATCCCAGCTCAGGTCAGCAGAACCTGCCTCCTTATCAACACATCCCCCAGCCCTCTAAATAAAGGCACAGGGAGACTGTTTATAAAAGAGGTAGTTTAAGTTCAAGATCCTCTTGTGCCATAAAGCATTTGTCTTACATGCACGGCTTAAATTAAAGATCTGATTTATCTTTCTCCCGCGCTGTATCTAAGCAACCACTTTAAAAGGATGCAAAGCTCTCCAGCCAAAAAAAAAAATGAGCAAAGTGGCTTGCATGAACAAGAAGCTTGCATCCAGACATCAGGGAATTACAAACAAAACTGTATATTAGAGGTGTATATCTATCTGTATTATGAAGAAGAGAAAACATTGTTTCCTAAATTGATGATTTAGACTAAAAATATATATATATATATATATATATATATATATATATATATGTGCTAACATTACAAAATTTGAAGAGTAAGTGTAAAATAATGTATTAAAGAGAATGTTAGGCAAGGTATGCATTTTAATGTCTGTGATTTCTTATAACTGTGTCAAAAGAATTAAATAATATTGATGAATATGTTAATTAAGATAGGTATGAGTCTCATTATAGTAATTGTCAGTATCATGATGCTTGTAGAATAACAAGATGGATACTCTACAGAATGATGGGGAATATACTTTCCCTTCCACACACACTTGAAGGGTGAATGCAGGTCATACCACGCATTGTGCTGAACTGTGACCTAGGATCCATACACATGGCTATTTTTGCTACTATTGATTTAATTGTAGGCCGCAGGCACACAAAAACATAAGTGCAAAACAAAAAATGGGCCATTTGAAGAGAGCATGTGCAAGGTTTATTAACACGACTGGGAAAAAATGATGTCTGTAAATTTCAAGTAAGCTAGCCAAGTATTGCAAAAGAGACAAAAGAAGAGTAATCCACCATATACTGTAATTAGAAGCAAATGCCACACTCTAGGTTCAGCTTCAAATTAGCTTTTTTAATTTGGATGGTCTACCTAGGATTAGCCCCACCTAGGATCTTCATTCTTTTTAAAAAAAAAAAAAAAAAAAAAAAAAAAAAAAAAAAAAAAAAAAATACACATTATGCCCAAAAAGGGTTTACTCTAACCCAAGGTGGATAGATGACATTTAAGAGTAGCCTATGGGCTCTATGATATGGTGTTGTACTGCTGCCACTTGATAATGTTGTTTACACCTCTTCTTTTGTAAAACACCTTTCAATAAAAATTATTGGAAACGAAGAGTAGCCTTTGGAGTGGTATTGTACTATTGAAAGAAGCAAAATGGGAGTATCCTTATTCAGACCGCCACAAGCCTAAATGTATTACCCATTACGATAATGTCTTATGCAATGCATACATAATAAAAGTACTATTACCTTTATTATTATTATACAGTATTTATATAGCGCCAAAAGGTTTGCTCAGCGCTGTACATTATAGTGGGGGACAGAACATGAGACAATACAGTAACAATACAATACACGAGGGGTTCGAGGGCCCTGCTCTTTCCAGCTTACAATCTAGTTATTTAATTAACTTTCTAAAGTGGGTTTTAGATCAGCTTTAATCTTTAATGCTGTAGAGAGTAGGCGATACCAATGGAGTGATGGGCCCATCACACTGGACATTTGATGTGCTGTGCTAATCTGCCTTCGCTGTGTTAATCCTTTTTTATGTCATTAGTTTTCAGTTCGTTATGAATTGTACGTTACTAACTGCAAAGTACCTGGACTTCATTCTGAGCTGCCAGCTTCAGGTAACTGTGCTGAGTGCAAAATGGAAGAAAAGGGCCAAAGAGCTGCCTTAAGCTGGCCATATACTAGCAGGTTTTGCAAATAAACATTCGTACGAATATTTGCTAGAAAACTCTTTTTACATTTGATGATTGGATGAATGTCATTCGAATGTACTTTAAAATGTTTGTTTTTAAAATTCGATTTTGGAATGAATGTAATTTACTGCACAAAAACCACATTCACTGTTAGAAATTCGTTCATTCGAGAAAATATTTCCATCCTGCTCCTTCGAATTTTCTTTGAACATCAATTTGACCCCACTAGCAATTTAAAAGAAATTGAAACGACATTTTTAAAATGAAAAATTTCAAACAAAATTCTACTAGTGTATAGCCAGCTTTACTCTAACACTGAATTGCATCTACTGCCATGGATAATAAAGAATAAGTAAACACAGGAACAAAAAATATAATATATTGCAGCTTACCAATTCTTAAATGGGGTAACTGCATTTGTTATCTTTTCTGAGGGTAAAACACTTTCAGCAAGTACAGAAAATACCTGTTCATCTTTTCAAAAATGCAGTATCTTTGTTACTTCCTGTGAGCATAAAATAATGTTAGTATGTTTAGAAAGTATACATATTTTAAAGGACAACCCTCTGTACAGGCATTTGCAGCACACATAGAAATCAAAGCAAAAGTGAATCTGCAGTTGTAGGTTAGATGGTTTGTGTAATGCAGATGAAGGTTACACAAGTGGCTATGGTAGGACCAGCATCCTGGTCATTTATTGTGCTGATCCTTTAAGCCGGATCTTGCCATGTATTCAAAGCTCTTTATGACCTTTCTTTTATTGTATTGTAACTGCCAAATATATGCATGCCTTTTTTTCTCAGTAGATAGGTAAAGGTACTCCACTCCTCCCCTGAGTCACCCCTTGTCTCCTCCCTGACCAACCTCTGAGCACTGTCCCTTGTCCCTAGCCTCCTATCCCCCTCCTAGTACTTTTCCTTTTAGAGAATACAGAGCCAAGTATCACATTGTGGTGCTAAGTAATTTGTATGGAACTGGTTAATGATAATAGACCCCCAGCAACAGCAGATCCTTGCCAGCAACAATAGCCCCCAGAAATTAAATACACCACCAGCAACAATAGATCCTTTTCAGCAACAATAGTCCCCCCCCCCATGACCAAAATGCACCCCCAGTGATCCTTTTCAGCAACAATAGTCCCTTGCCGCAGGAACAAAATACATCCCCAATGTAGCGATACCCCCATAGGGGCTGCTTAAGTTTGTTCACTCCGCCACTCTGCCTCTCAACCCCAAGAACTGTCTCAGCCCCAACTGACACACCTGGCAATAGTGTAAGTGCAAGGACCAATGAAAAGCACACATTTTATAATAAAACACAGAGGTCAGCTTTACTGTAAGACCTCTATGGGACGTAATAAACATTAACAACAGGTAAATGTTAGGTGAATCAAGAGAACAGCAAATACTGTGACTGAAAGCAATATTACTGACTTTTACACTCAGGCTGCTTTCAGGGGATTCCAACCATGAATAACCCCAAGAGCAGAGGCAAACACTTAAATGGAGACCTCAAAGTGGGTTTAACTCCTCTACATAAATTCGGCTCTATGGTGTCCAAGCAGGAGGAGAGCAGAAGAATGACTCTCTGTTGTGTCAGACTTCTCCCTTCTAACCCCCGGCACCACAAGCCCAATAGGCAAACACTGTACCCAACTGATGCTTAATAGCTACTTTCCAAGGTAAAGCTATTCCCCCACACACCATGGAATATAGAGGCCTGACTACGCATGCGCATGCATGTATGGCACCAGTAACTTCAGTCTCTTGGTAACAGGATGAATCTTGGGATCTTCAGCTAACCACTTTTGTTGGTGCACTTAAACTCCTTAAACACTTAAAGTATAATTGTAATCCTGTAGCAGTATTTGTGTAGCAAAGCGAATACTGTGTCTGTTTAGCAGGCCCATCTACACAACCCAGTGCCTGGTGAGTATGGGCAAAGTATGATGTCTCTGTATGTGTGCAGTGTTCATCTGACAGTGGGAGAAATCCCTCTCACCAGATCCTGTGACTAAGGCCCAAACAATCGTCCTGGAAATGACTGGCTCCTCTGGTCACCTCACCATGAGCACTTCACACTGTCAGGGTGGGCACTGTACTGTAGGCCACTTCTCTCAGTTTGGATGTTCCCTTGACTGATGCAGATAACTAAGCATGCAGTGCACTGCCCATAAGCACTTCTTTGCCAGGTCCAGACTCTCTCCTGCCACATGCAGTCTGCCTCCCCTCAGGAAAACACAAGATGGTGTCCTTCACTCTGCTCTCACTTGATGGCATGATGGCCTTTGAAGTTCTATCTCTTTATAAGCCTTTCAGGCTGTTTCTGTTCAAGACTGCATATTCCACAATGCTTTGCAGCTGCACCTGCTGCTTGAGAAAGTCCCTGTCATTGGCACCTTTAATGGCTCTCTCTCTATTACAGTCTGAGAGGAGAAGGGGGGGCTGAAGCCCCCCACTGCCTTGTCTGTGTCCAGTGCAAGTGTCAGGTTTCAGAGGAGATGCCAGTCAGCAGATTACAGCAGTCACAGATAGGGTTAATTTTCCTGCTACACCAACAACAATAGATCCTTTCTAGAAATAAAAGTCCCTCCTCCAGGAACAAATTACACCCCCAGCAACAATAGATCCCCCAGCAGCCAGCATCAATAGATCCCCTCAACAACATAAGAACCCTAGAACAACAATAGACCCCACCAGCAACAGTACACCTCTAGTTACAATAGATTCCCAGCCCTAAATACCCTTTATTACACTTCAGCCAACTTTGCCAGTGCATACATTCTGTGGTGCAGGTGCCAGAACTGTGTTTCCACTAAAAAAAGAATATATGTATCTGGACCTTGTCCTGAACCCCAAGTTCCAGCAAACATTATTAAATTTACATACACATTTTGGGCCATTGAAGCACAACAGTTCCCAGCAGACAACAGATTAACTTGTATAATGTTAGTTAGAAGTTGCTGATGTTCTCTCTCTTTCAGTCCTGCTGAGACAATCCCTGCTATTTCCTTACAAGTGGTGAGAGTGCTCTCTAGAACAGTCCAATCTCACTAGGCATTCAAATCACATCCTCCCAAGCAGAAGGATCTCAGTAACTTTGCTTCTCTGAGTTCTCACCTGACTATGGTCAGCAATGTCAAGG